TAGGAAAGATCAAAGTGACAGATCATGCACCTTTAAAAGTGAATTTGAATCTAAGTAAACAACAAAGGGAAAACAGAATACCTATGGAGATTCAATTCATCATTGTTAACATCTCCAATACATGAGCACAATATCCATAAAGGCTTGGAATTTTACTTTGAAGATAATGCAGATCCCTCAATCTTCAATATCACCAGATGGGAAACTATGAAGGCTGTACTCTGTGGTATTTGTATAAAAGAATTGTCAAAGATGAAAAGAAGGAGAAATGAAAAAATAAGCATTTAGAATCAGAGATAACTTCCTTAATGAGAAAATATAAGGAGAGTGATTCACAACGACTGAGGTTAATTCTAGATAGAAAAAGGGCAGAATTAAAAGCAATAGATATTAATAGAAATATGATAGAGATGTTGCACCTTCAAAAAAAGTATTATGAATTTGATGGAAAAGGGTCAAAACTTTTGGCAAATAGGTTAAAAACAAGAGAAAAACTAAAATCACTGGTATAATAAATAAGAATGGAGAAAGGTGTCTAGATCTGCAAAAGATTCTGGAAGCTTTTACAGACATTGATGAACCCCTATATTTTGATCCCTCTTCTAACTTCTAATGTTAATCAATACCAAATATTTACAAAGCAACCCCTAGATGAATATATTGGTTCCTTCTATAAACAGTTTAGTGAACTTCTGGCACCTCATCTGCAAAGGGGTTTCAATGCCATCCTGGAGGGGGCACAATGTCCACAAACTTGGACCCAGTCCAGAGTGGTGGTATTACTAAAGCCACAAAAGGACACCATATCGATGGAGTCTTATAGGCCAATTTCACTTCTCAACACAGACTGTAAACTATTTGCTTCAGTTTTAGCAAAACATCTTAAGGGGTATCTTGGACAAATGATACATGAGGATCAATTCGGCTCGGCTCCAAAAAGATATATTGCAGACCCGATTAGAAGATTATTTGCAGTAATAAATTACAGCAAAAAAAAAAAAAAATCAGTCTTCATTAGTATTATTAGCTTTAGATTTCTATAAGACCTTTGATTGTGTTAGTTGGAAATTTTTACTTAACTCTTTGCAATTTTATAAATTTGGCCCTAAATTTACATCTGTATTACATGAAATTTATTCTCCTATGTGTTCAAGGCTCCAGATAAATGATTAGGACTCTAAAGAATTTTATGTTCAGAGAGGTACTAAACAGGGATGCCCTTTGTTACATCTTCTATTTACTATGGTGATAGAATTTTTAGCCTCACATATAAGGGCAAATGAAAATATTTGGAGGATACGTATTAAGAATTCAATTCATGTCATAAGCTTATATGCTGATGATGTTATATTGATGCTGAGGAATCCTATAGAAGCAGCTCCTCATATACTAAATGAATTAGGAAAAAAATTTAGACTGCAGGACTTCAAGTGAATTTTAGGAAATCTGATTTAATGTGCTTCAATATAGCCCCCCCAGATCAACTTTCAGTAACACAAAGGTTGAAAGTCCCGCTGACAAATAAAGGGTTTAAATATTTAGCAGTCTTCATAGCAAAAAG